AGGTGTCCCGTGGTGTCCCGTGGTGTCCCGTGGTGGCCAGTGGTGTCCCGTGGTGTCCCGTTGAGTGAGATCGATAGTGAGATCGACAAGTGTCCCGTGGTGTCCCGTGGTGTCCCGTGGTGTCCCGTGGTGTCCCGTGGTGTCCCGTTGAGTGAGATCGATAGTGAGATCGATTGAGTCAGATGTTGGGTTCCCTCCCTATACCCCCTCACAAACTCCTTATCACCCGAAGGGTGGTCGTATAGGTATAAATCCCCCCCCACATATATATATAGATGTATATACGACCGCCCTTCAGGCGATAAGGAGGTTGTGGTGGGGGGGAGTTCAGCTTTCGGTGTGCGATTGGGATCAGATCGGAGCGGAAACCAGTTGGGCACCACGGAGCACTTGTTAATTAGGCCATCTATCTATTGATCGCACTCTTTTCCCACCTATTGATCTCACTGTCTATCTCTCTCTCTGTTTATCGATCTCACAATCTCTCGATCTCACAGTCGACTTCCTATCGATCTCGCTATAGATTTGTCTATCGATCTCACTATCGATCTCATAATCGACCTCACGGGACACCACGGGACACCACAGGACACCGCGGCACGGGACACCACGGGACACTACGGGACACCACGGGACACCACGGGACACCACGTGACACCGCGTCACGGGACACCGCGGGACACCACGAGACATCATGGGATACCACGGGACACCGGCGGGACACCCTCGAGCCCCCCGCCCGCCAACCCGGGGGCGCCGTGTCATTGAGCTCAGTTTCGCCCTGGCCACGGCGGGTTCATCCCTCTCGCCTGCCCACGCAGCTTCGCCTCGCCCGCACGCGCGACACGAAGACGAAACCGAAACCGATTTCCACGTGGGGGCTCTCCGTTTCACGTCGAACGCGCCCCGCAATCTCCGATGTATACACATGCATGTGTACATATACACACATATCTAGAAACAGAGAGCGAGTGAGGGAGAGAAGGATAGAGAGAAAGAGAGAGAGAGGTAGACTGCGGGAGGGGAGGGGGAACCACCGCGCTTTGTGCCGACTTGGCGCTGGCGCTTGCTTGTTTCACTCCAGGCCTGCACTGTTCACTGGACGTGGACGTGTGTGTGTGTGTGTGTGTGTGTGTGTGTGTTTGTGTCCGACCTCGCTCTGCCCTGATGCTGCGCGCGAGGCTGCGACCGCCAAATGTGTTCGTGAGTACTGTGTTTGTGTGTGTGTGTGTGTCTGCTGTGGCTGCTGCTGCTCCCCCACCCCGTCTTCCCACTTTGGGATTGCCGTGGTGCTTCTGCGTCCTCTGCCGTCCCCTCCACCGCGGGCACGTCGCCTGGCATCCCGGCTCGTCGAGTTTCAGCCCGGGCGCGCTCTCCGCACTCGGTCGTTGTCGTTCGTCGGGTACCGTCGTCTCCTTCTGTGGACGTTGCCTCAATTTTCTCCCTCCCCACCCTGCCCGCGTGGTTTAAACCTGCGGTCGATACAGTGTGGTCCTGCGTCTGAGGGCCCGGCCGCGCGCGTTAGCTTTGTGCCGCCGGCCTGCTCGACATGCTTCGCGATCGCCGACAACATGTGTGAGTTTGTATGTATGTGTGTGTGTGTGTGTGTGTGTGTTGGCGTTCTCTCCACTACTCAACATGGCCCCTTTCTCTTGCACGCGTCAGCCACGTTCTGACCACCCACCAACTGACGCGCGGTGACGCGTCAGCCACGTTTTGACCACCCACCAACTGACGCGCGGCGATACTCAATCTAGGCGTGCCTCGCTCCAGCACTCGCTGCGTTGGATCAGCTGGCCGGAAAGCAAAAACTGTGACTGAGTGGGTGTTTGCGTGTGTGTCTTTTCCGTCTCCCCTCTCTTTTTTCCGTGCGGGCGCGAGCCGAAGCGTGTGCAGCGCGCCTGACGCGCCCATTCCCGCCGGATGCCCGCCCCATGAGGGCGGCCGCTTGCCCCCACCATTGCGGCGGTTCTCAAACGCCTGACCCGGCGCCAGGGTCAAACGGCCAGTAAGGCTGTTCAGCCCTCGATCTTCGGGGGGCCAGCTTTTTCAAGTGCAGGGGCCGCATTTAGCAGCCGTTCACCCGCGCGCCGCTGGCATCCTAGTGTGTGGCCCACGGTCGTCCATCGGACACTGCCGGGGAATTTGTCTGCCGCCAGCGGGTCGCAACCGAGCCGGCCAGGGCGGGGTTGAAGCTCTTCCATGTATTCCTCTTCCTCCACGTAGTTTTTTGCAAAAGGGCGTGTGGTATGACTTTGGCTCGCAGCCCTGTGGTCTGCGGCGTGGCCTGGCACGCGGCCGACAACTCTGCGTACTGGAGGCTCGCGCCTTTTTTGTCGATGGACTTGCTGAGCAGGCACTGGATGCCGTGTATACGGCAGTGCATACGCAGTTTTGCTGTCTCTGGTGCGGCTTGGCGCGGAGGCCAACAATTTTGAGTTGAATTGATTGACGGGCCTGCAGTGGTCGCACGACTTCGTTTCGCAGAGATGTGAAATCTTTCCTAGAGTCGTATTCTCGATAGAACCTTCGGGCAACAGGTTCGAAAGCGAGATCTGAGATGTATGAGCCGCGCATCATGTCTATCTGCTTCACCATTCATGTTCAGTTTGGAGCATTACCTCTGAATCTTTCGAGCGAGATGCGGAGGAGAAGACACGGCCAGTTGGGGGGGACGGAGCGGGAGGACGAACGGGGAGGAGCAGAAGGAGGAGGATGAGGAGAAGCAGGACGATAGGCAGGGGAGACAGATAACGAGATGGTGGAGGAAGAGCAAGAGAAGGAGGAGGAGGAGGAGGAGGAGGAGGAGGAGGAGGAGGAGGAGGAGGAGGAGGAGGATATACAGGAGGATTTTGAGGACATGCAAGACACGGATGAGGACGTGGGGTAGGCGGAGGGGGGGTGGGGGTTCAGGACAGTCATGAGAGAAATAACAGGATATACGATGTACGACATACATATCAGGAGGGCGAGCAGGATTAGGGGGAATTCGACTACGAGGAAGAGGAGGCGGAGCAGCAGCAGCAGAGCAGCATCAGAGGACAAGGAGGAAGAGGCAGAATAATGCCCGCAACATCCATGGCACGTTCAAATAGGTCCAGCAGCAGGGGCGCGAACATGTCCGAGCTATGCGCTTAGCCGCCTGGGCCAGAGGGTTGGCCCTCCAGTGTTGGGGTGGCGCGAGGACTTGAAGGTAACTAGCAGTCGAGCGGGCCTCGCGCAGCGCGACGCGCCAACTCAACTGGGCTAAGCCGCATTGGTGTGACAGCCTCTGAAGTTACTTATATGTTTTGTCTTTTTCGTTGCCCGAGCCGCAGGCGGATGTATGTCAATCGACGTGCTCAAGTATGTCATGTCGGAGTGTTGGGCCCCCCGGCCCCCCGGCGGCACAAAAACAAATGGGGCCACCACCTCGATACCCAATTTACCCCAGGGGGTCTGAGGCTCCTTTTCGGAGCTCTTGGCCTTATGTCGGCTTCAAGTCAAATCGAAGGGTCAATTTCGACATTAGAGCGGCGTCAGGAGAGCGCCAATGTGGCCAAGACACGGGGCCTAGACGGCCCAATGTGGCGCCCAAATCGCTCCTACTAGCCTGCAAGGCGGCCCAGGACGCGCCAAGATCGCTCCAAGAGTACCTACAAGAGGCCTCCGAGAGGTGACAATCATTGATCTCCCATTGTTGTGTGTGGGGGGTTCCTTGATTTTAGCGTACTCGCTTTCTTCGTCTGCAGAGCATCCGAGACGGCCCGTGCGGCACCCACGATGACGAGGGCGCGCGGGGGGTCTGTAGGACACCCAGGAGGGGTCTGTAGGAGGGGGGGGTCTGTAGGACGGACCCCAGGGGGTCTGCAGAAATGGGGCTCTGTAGGAGGTACCCTGTGGCGGTCTATGAGGGGGGGGTCTCTACGACGGATCTGGGGGGGGCTGCAGAACAGACTTGGGGGCCTGAGCGGCCTCGGGCCCCCTGAGTGTCCAGGACGAGCGAGGGGCCCGTTTCGCTTCGGCCAGCCAGTTCGGTTCGCCCGGCTCGGTTCGCCTAGCGGGCTGGCCCGATTCGGCCGGTTCGGTTCGGCCGGCTCGGTTCGCGTAGTGGGCCTGTTTGGTTCGGCCGGTTCGGTTCGTCCAGCCTGTCCGCTTCGGCCGGTTCGGTTCGAGAATCGGTTCCCGGTTATCGCTTCGGTTCGCCACCCGATTTCATCTTCGTGCTGGCTTCGTCTTCCCGCGGCCCCTCCTTTCCGCCGCGGCCATCCTCGCGGTGGCCGTAGCGCTGGCCCCTCTCTTGCAGATAGAGCCCGCCCGCTACCCTGTCGCCGTGCCCCGCCCCCGCTCTTCCGAGGATGGCGGCGGCGGCGACGACGGCGGCGGCTGCGACGTCGCTCCAGATCGGTGGTTCAAAGATTCGGGGGCGGCCAAGAGGGGGGTGATGACTAGGGGGGGTGGATATCATGGCCAGGGCCATGATATCTCCCCAGATGTCATGATGCCTCTTCTGATCTGAATACGTCCCCAGACCACGCTGGGCCGCGCACGTGCCTGGGGCCATGATTTGCGAACACCCCTCTTGGACGCCCCCCTCTTGGACGCCCCCGAAAGATGGGGTCCTGAGTGATGGGGGCCTCCTGACGATGTGGAAGGTTCATACGGCGATGGCGCGCCGGCGACGCCAGCGACGGCATTGAAGGTTGAACTCCGCATGATGGAACGACGCGGAGCCACTGAGGGGCACGAACGCCACAGGATCCGACGGAATTCAACTTTGACACTGATCGGGGCCGCGATCGGTTCAAGATTGAACGATCGACGCGGCGTCAAAGAACCTCCGCGCGCGCCGCCGCCGCACGAACCTACCGCAGGAAGGGAGCCGAGGGTGGATTTGCGCTGATCGAGGCACCTCTCCCTCAGGGCCCGAGTTACGCCGTTTGAGGCACCTCGTCCGCAGGGCCCCATCTGCTCAGGACCCCACCTTTGAGCCACCGACCAGACGGTGCCGCTGGGCAAAGGCTGGCGCCGCCGGCTCCTCGGCCGCTGCGCCGTCGCTCGGCGAGCTGCGGGCGGTGCTGGGCGACGGCAGCTGCGCCTTTGGCGAGAGCCGGCCTCGGGGGGCCGGCCGGCCTTCTGCTGGAGTGGGATCGCTCGGGTCGGGGTGGGCGTTGGCGGGGTTGGCCCCTGCTTGGGAGTCACGCGGGCCCGGCCGAGCCCCTCTCAGGGGGTGCGAGAGGGCACAGGCGCAGGGGGGAAAGCATCGACCCCCGATCGCCCATTCATCAGCGATCGGGGTCTAGGTTTAAGTCGTGCGCGTCCCTCTACAGGAGGAACATTTAAAAATAGTGAAAACATAGTCTGGGGACGTTTTTTTAAATATTTTTTGCTATTGATTGAATATTTTTTTCTCGTCCAAAATCCGCCTGTAGGAGGACATGCCCGACCTACGTCTAGGCACCACCCTGCCCGGGACCGTGCTGTTTCGCTTTCGGGGGCCCATCACCGATCCATCGGCGATGTACGGACGATTCTGGGCCGATGTTTCTCCCCTGAGCTGGTCCCCCCTTTCGGGGGTTGCTAAAGGTGCCCCCTGGCCCAAGGTGCCCCCAGCTTTCCGCTCAATTTTGAAGCCACGGGGCCCTCCGGGCCTCGTCAGGGGTGCTCTGGAGGCCGTGGGGGCCTCCTCGTCTCCTTGAGCTCCTCCGTCCGCTGGTCTGTACCTGGACGCTGTGGCGTGCGGCCTGCGACGGGCGTAGCCTTGGCTGACTCGGATTAGCGCTGACCCCGGTGTGCGCTTCCCCGAACGAGAGGTGGGGGCTGGGAAAGAAGGGCCCTTCGTAAAAGGCATGTGCGCAACAGTTCGTGCAATCTTTCGTGCGGGATACGCACGTCGTACAATATCAGCACGCGGCTGCCAAACGCCATGCGCCACGGGATGAACCATTGCATTCATTGTTGCGACCCCATTACCAAAGACCCCCGTAGCCTGGAGCCAAATGGGCTCGCTGTTCCTTACGCCCTTCCACGGTTGTTCTTGCAGAACTCATTGTGCACCCAGGCGCGCTCGGGGCTAACAGGGGGCTTTGCTCTTCATTTGGCGTGTCTTATGGTAGTTGCTTGACTGTGTGCTGCACGCGCTTCACTTCAGTGTTGCACGGCCGGTTCCGCCGACTCTTAATTTCTTCTTTGGCTAAGAAAATTTATACAGTTTTGATATATATATCTACATGTTCCAGCAGCACAGCAATCAGCCAAGGAATCTCAACAAGGACTGAAATGGGTGGGAGCGGGGCGCGGGCGGAAGGGCGGCAGGAGAAGCATAGGAGGCGGCAAGAGACGCGGGCAAAGGCGCAGCAGGGGAGGAACATATCGACAAGAGGGCTCAGTATCGTTTAACCGATCTCCATCCCCATCCCCATCCCCATCCCCATCCAGACCCCCACCATCTCATCCCCCCAGTTGGGGATATACCCTTCGAACTCTGACAGAAACTGCCTATATCCCATATCCCCATCTAGGGGGGTAAACCGGCCAGTGGGGCCCAGGCCACGCGAGTGGGGATAGGGATCGGCCAAACGATGCTCAAGGGCACAAGAGCTAAGGTCGCGGCCGAAAGGGAACAGGAGGGCAGCAGGGAGGGGAGCAGTTGTCAACTTTTACCGATTGCTTCCAATTTGCCCCCAGGAAGGCCCGACCCGCCCCCGAGAGCCCTGCAAGATGGCCCCGAGTGAGCCCTAACGGCTTCCAAACTTGCCCCAAGAGGGCCCCAGTGCATCTCAAGTAAGCTGCTGGGAGGCCCCCAGATCGAAAGATTTTAAATCACGCATTTCTGGTTGACTCCTGGGTGCGCTTGGGCCGATCCCGAGCTTCGGCTTTCAGGAGGGGAAAAAACACACAGACACAATTCATCGTCGATTCCTCAGAAAATATGGGAACATATGGGAAGTGGGGGGAAGACAAAAACACTGAAAATATGGGGAAATATGGGAAATCCTTTTATTAGTGTGTATTTATTTGTGTGTCTCAGGGCCCCTTCAGGCTTGACGGCTGCCCCTGCTCTTGGTTCGACTGCTTGTCCCGCACCTCTCCCTGGTCGGTGCCAGCCACGCGCAGACCTGCGCATTGGGGGAGGGGGGACGGCTTCTTAGCAGCACCCCTGCTTCCTCAAAGGCGCGGGCGCTCTCAACAGATGCAGGGCCGGCACCTTCCAAGAAGCAGCCTCCTCCTAAGAAGCCTTCCCCCCCCCCTGCAGTCGGCTCTGATGGGTAAGTTGACCGTGCCAAATCGAGGAGGGTGCCCTTATGTGCTGTCAATCCCGACCTGTACAACCAGCATGTCCTGTGGTGTTCTGGGGCCACGCTGCCGTCGGAAGAGTCTCGTGCCCTCTCGGGTGTCTTGTCCAATCAAGCTCGACTGTACCCCCATCTGCGCGCCGCCAGCAATCCTACTCGCCTGGGCAGCGCTCTTGGAGAGACTGGCGAGGCTGTGCGCGGAGCGTCATCGATTGCGAAGGCCTTACGGCCGGTGCCGCCGACCCTGAATGGCGACGACGACGACGACGACGACGACGACGACGACGACGACGACGAGCGCTCTTGGGGGCCTCGTGGGGGTAGTTTGTGGGCCCCTTGGGAAGCTCTTAGGGGCCGCTTGGAAGCCTCGTGGGGGCCTCTTGGGGCTTCCTGGAGTTCTCTTGGAGGGGGCCTGGGACGTCTTGGAGGCTTCTTGGACATCGATTTTTCAAGTTCGGGGGCCGCTGCGAGCCCCAGGGGGCCGCCGAAGACACCGGCTCCTGGCGAGCAGGGTCGAGAGCTCCTCGGGAGCAGCGATAGGGGGGGACAGACGTAGGGGGGCGCTCATTGATCGCCGGCAGGGGCCCGCTAGCCCCACGCCGCTCAGGCAGGCGCGGATTCACTGCCGGGGCCCTATCGCCGACCTGTCGGCGATGTATCGCCGATTCCAGGTCGGCGTTTCCCCCCCCCTGTGCCAGTCTTAAGTCGGGCCTGTCCCTCTACAGGATGAAAATTTATTAATAGTTAAAAATAATACGGGGACGATTTTTGCAATACTTGTTTGGATTATTTTTGACATTTTGTGTGTGTGTGAGACTTTTTTTTATTTTTTTAATTTTATTAGTTTTTGCTCAAAATCTGCCTGTATGAGGACGTGCCCGACCTAAGGCCAGTCCCTCCCTTATCGTTGTCCCTCAGTCGATAGCGCCAGAGGCTCACGGCTCGAGAGAGCGGGTTTGTCGGCTGTCTGGATTCTGGTCTTCTCTCGGTCGTTCGTTGCCTTGGCATCGCTCGGATATGTGCAGTTTCCCCCCCGGCGAGGACCATCAGGGAGCATCCTGGATCACCTTGCAACAAAAAGCGCGCACGGAACCGAAGCATGCACGGGGAATTGACGCCCGAGCGACGGTAAGTTACAACCTCGTGTCTCCCGCGGTCGCGGGCGCACCGTGCGTGATGCCGCCCTGCAGCAGAACTGATCATTTTGGTTCGGCTTGGTCCGACGAAACAACTCTTCACGCTTCGCGAATCCCCACGAGCGGGACGGGCTTCAGCCACACCTCTGCGTCAGTGAGCCATGATGAGTCAGGCCCTTCTCTTTTTGCCGCTCCTTCTTTTCCTCGTGGTGCTGCCGTGTGCCCTGGATGGCGTCCGCACTTGCCCCTTTCCTCCCCCCCGCCTCCTGGCCTCGCCTCCGTTTGTTGATCGGCCGGAGACTGGCGCCGCCAGGGCGACTTCTCTCCGCCGTTCCAGAGCCGGTCGCCGTGCCTCGTCCCCACCCGTCGGGATGTTCGGCTGGATCACCTGGTCGCGCTGTACGCGTCTTCGCTTGTGGTTTGGCTGGAGCTTGGCGCCGCACGGGCGACTTCTCCCCGCCGTCCCGCCGCCGGTCGCCGCGCCTTGGCGTCCCCACCCGCTGGGATGTCAGTGCCGGTCTCCTGGCGTCTAATGCGGGTCATTTTGTCCCTTGCATGTGCGTACGCGACTGCGGCCAATTATCTTCGTTCCGCGCCCCGAACGTTGCCCCGTTTCTTGACCTTCGCCAGGGAGCCGCCGACAAAAAAAAAATCCCCACGAACCTATCCAGACACGATGCCCAGAGGCGCTGACCTGATCGGGGGAGCGTGGCCCGATTTCGAGATATCGGGGGCACGTGCGGGCCAGAGGCCCCTTGGATGCTCTCTTGGGTATCTTGGGGTGCCTCTTGATGGCCTCTTGGAGGTATCTTGGGGCGTTTTGAGGGCCTCTTGCTGGCGACGGGAGGGGCATAGCAATTACAGAACCCCCCCCCCCTCCGGCGAAACGATAGCCGTCCCGCACCCTGGAAGTGTTATTCTGGCACCTGTGGCTAGGAGGAGGAGGAGGAGGAGGAGGAGGAGGAGGAGGAGGAGGAGGAGGAGAGGGAGGAGGAGGAGGAGGAGGAGGAGGAGGAAGAGGAGAAGGAGGAGGAGACGGCGATGGCGATGGCGACGGCGACGGCGACCAGGCGGATCGGCCGACTCGCCTAAGTCATAAGCGGATCCGGTTGCCTGCCCAGGCCGCTTCGAAACCATTGCCGTCATCAGCATCATCATCGTCATCATGGTAGCAGTAACAGTTACGGTGCCAGCAGTACCTGTAACACTCGTATTATTATTATTATTGTTCTTATTCGTATTATTATTCTTATTCGTATTCTTATTCTTATTACAAGTCCAATTGGGATGCCATCCGAGGCGGGGCGCAGGAATTATTTTGTTTCCTTTCATTTGCGCGGTGCTAATTATATCGTTCGGCGGATACCCCCCCAAATAATTATTTAATTACGGCGCGGTGCTAATGATAACGCCGGGGGGGTTCTTAATTGCTTCTCCGGGTATTGGAGTGTCGTGGGTGCTCTTGGAGCTCTCTTGAAACCATTTTGGAAGCGTTGGGGGCTCTGTTGGGGCCTCCTTGGGCCGCTTTTGGGAGCTTCGGAAGCCTTGTTGGGACCATCTTGGGGATATCGAGCAAAGAAGGGGCGTTCCTTAATCGCCCCCCCCTCCAGAGTTCCTAAAATCGCCCTCTTGGGTCTCTATTGGGCCCTCTTGGAGCCATCTTGAGGCTTCGGAAGCCCGTCGCAAGCGAACAAATACGAAGACAAAACTCATAGATATTCCATGGGCTTTTGAAGGATTCCGGCCTCTTGGGGGCGCCGTTCGAAGGGTACGTGGACACTTGGACTCGTCTTGGAGCGGTCTTGAGGCCTCTTGGAGGTATTTTGCGGAGGCCATCTCAAACTATCTTAGACATCGTACGCCGTGTCGGAGGCCATCTTGGGCTATATAGGACCCTGTCGAGGCCATCTTGGACGGTCTGACCGCTCGCGACCCCCCTCCATATCCAGGGAGAGCGATCAAGCTACCCCAAGCCGTCAGCCGTGTCGCTCATTTCCACCCGCCTTCCCAATCCATAAGTAGCACCCGAGTCTCAGCACAGGCAGGGGCCGCCATCGCCCAACCCCGGGAACCAATGCAGACGCCAGCCAGGTGCGCGATGCCCGCGAGGTGCGCAGCACGTGTCAGGTGCACCACGTGCACCAGGTGTGCCACTTTTGGCAATAGGTCGACCTTTCCACCATCCATGTCAAGAACCAGTGCAAAGCGACGGCGGGCTTGCGAGCATTGTGCATTGTGTGTCCGTGGGTGTCTGCGCCCGCAGTCACTCTGCATTGTTTTTGACGTGAATCGCAGGCCTGCGCGCAGCAGGCAGTCTGCCGCCCTCCCCCACCGTCCCTGGTGACGTGAACTTTGCCCGCTTCATTGAAGCGTGCGGCGGGCTTGCACATAGCAAACAACATGCGCCCCCCCCCCCGCTGCTCTTCTCAAAACCCATATGCCAAGTGATCGCTGTGGTCCGTGCGTGATCTAGACTTTGGTACAACGTGCGTGGTGTATTGTTCTTGTGCAAAGGATGGTTGGTGGGTGTTGGCATTGCGCGCAGCATGCAACATACCCCCCCCGCCGTCCCTGCCAACAACCAACGCAACGTGATCGCGGGGCATCCGCGCATGATACAGACTTTGGTGCAAGTTGCGCTGTGTATGTTGTTTTTGCAGATGGTGGGTGTGTTGACACTGCGCACAGCAGGCAATATACTTGTACCCCCGCCGTCCCTGTCAAAACCAATGCAAACTGACCGCGCGTCGTCAGCGCCTGAGCCAAATTGTGGTGCACATTGCATTTTGTATTGTTTTTCTTTTGAGAGGCTTGGCGGGAGGGTGTTGGCATGATCCCAAATTTGTCGCAACTCGGATGGGCGAGGTGTGTGTGTGCGCAGAACGCAACACCGCACAGCATGTCATGGCATGGCGCCAGGTTCAAAGGAGGGTAAGTGGATCGTCTTCGAGAGGTCTGGGCCGGTCTGGAGTCGTGGCTCCATGTGGAGCTCCTTGGGCTCCCGAAAAGGCTCCACATAAGGCGGGGCTGATGGAGAGCACCCGCTGGCTCTGCTTCCAACATCGCCTTCTTAAAGCAGAAACGGGACTCCCGCTTGGTACTTCCCGAAATCGCCGACGCCCCGAAGTGGGGGGGGCTTCTGCGGCCCAGAAAATCAACGAGTCGACACCGAATATGTAATCACTTCCGATTGTCTTTTCGGGGGGACATAAAAAAAATGAGGCCTATCTGGAAGGACCGAAACCGCCCACGCTGCAGCGGGAGCACGATTTGGAACAACCAGAGGCGCAGAAATGGGGCCAGCGCTTCAGCGGGAGCAACACTTTGAAAACAACAAAGCGAAAACCCATTTCCAGGGAATCCTCCCGCCCACCCTCCCAACACATACGTAGCACCCGAGCCTCGGCATGTTCAGTGGTCGTGCGTGACGCTGGTGCGAGGTGCGCCACGCGTGCCAGGCACGCCACGCGCGCGAGGTGCGCCAGGCACCCCTGGGGCCCAAGCGTGCCAGGCACGCCTGGCGCGCCAGATGTGCCGCGTGCTCCACGTGCGCTACGTGTGCCGCATAGTTCAGCCGCGCCAGGTGCGCCACGTTCGGGACTCGCGCAGAGTGTACCAGGTGCGCCCGCGCACGTGACAGCACACATCGGGAGACATGTCGGCCCCCTACCATTTTTGTCGAACGCCAATGCGTATTGCGGCGGGGAGGCTATTTTGGTGTCTGGTGGGTTCGCACAGCAGGCAATATGCCAGCATTCTCGCCGCCCTTGTCATAAACAAATTGGCAACTATCGCAGCTTTAGCCGCGAAGTGTGTTTCTAGTTTTTTTCGCCGGGATGGTGGCAACAGGCAATATGATAGCATCTCCGCCGTCCCTGTCAAGAAGAACATGCAAAGTGCTAGTGGAACCCACGAACATGACCCAATACGTTGCCCCAGAGTATTTGTTGTATGGTTGTTTGTCAGGGATGGTGTGTGTGTGTTGTCGTTGTCCCTGGTCAGCTGCCGGTTGGACCCTGTCGCCTGGGGGAAGAGATTTATCATTGATAAAGAACGGTGATGCCCGCGAATGGGAAGAGGGAAGGTGGAATAGGAAATTCGCTAATCCACTGACGCCCAGAGGGCTGGTGGGATTTGTATTTTGGGATCTGGATGTTTCCGAAACAAGTCGCAGTCTAAGATTTCATTAGTGGTCGTTTTTTCCATTGTTTTGCCGGTTGGCGCGGGCCCTCGCCCCCCCCCATGGATGGAGTAGATTTTGGCTGTTTTTGGGCGCCTGTTCCAAGCAGGTGTGGTCTCCCCAAGACGCACTGTTGCAAACAGTCGCATAAGCAGAGGTCCGGAGCCAGACCCCCCCTCCCACTCCCTTCCGCCCGATGTCGAAACGCCGAATAAGAAGAAAACGCTCACTTAATCAGCACTATCCGTCTGATGCGCTCTGGATTTCAGCCTCGGCCCCGCGGCAGCCTCCCAGCCCAGGGCCCTGGAGGCTTAAAGAGAATGTCTCCTTGGTCGGCTCGCCTGCTCACCAGTTGGTTGCATTCTGTTGGTTACTCCGAGTTTCTTAATAAGCGTCGGAGGGGCGCCACCCCCGCCGACAGCCCCACATCGACCCCCGTCGCGGGCAGCCACCGCGCGCCGAAGGCGCTCCGACCCCCGTCGCGGCGCGACGACGAGGCGAGGTTGACCCCCGTCGGGAGGTACCCCCCCACGCTTATGTTGAGAAACCCAGAGTAGGTTCTCTCGATCATTGCGTCGCTGCTTCCATCCAGACTGCCTTCGGTCCGTCAGCTCCGATCGTCTGCTCGGCCGGTTTTCGGTTTTGGTGTCGCCGTGGATGTCCGTCGCGTTGGCCGTGATGCCGAATGGCCCCGTCAGAGGCTCGGGACCCACATGTCAGGGCCCGAGGGGGCCTCCAATGCAGTCGCAGGGCCTTGTTCGGAGATCGGTCCTGCTTCCCTCCCTCCTCTTCCCCCCTCCCTCCATCGTCCATCTCCTCCTGCTCCCTCTTTTTTCCTCCTGCCCCTCCTTTCCTCCTCATCCCTGTGTCTCTTCTGCCTCCTCCCTCCTCCTCCTCCTCCTCCTCCTCCTTCTCCCCTTCCTGCTCCTCCTCCTCCTCCTTCCCTCCTCCTCCTCCTCCTCCTCCTCCTCCTCTTGCTCCTCCTCCTCCTCCTCCGCCTCCTCCTCCTCCTGCCTTTCCTCCTTCCTCCCCCCCTCTTCTACCACGTCCACCTCTTCCTGCTCCCTCCTCTTGTCTCCTCCTGCTCCGCCTGCTCCTCCTGCCTTTCCTCCTCCTCCTCCGCCTCCTCCTCCTCCTCCCCTTCCTCCTCCTCCTCCTCCTCCTCCTCCTCCTCCTCCTCCTCCCTTTCCCCTTCCTCCTCCTCCTGCCTCCTCCTGCATCCTCCTGCCCCTCCTCCTCCCCCTCCCTCCTCCCTCCCATCTTTTCCTTTTTGCCCCACTCCCCCCTCCTTCGTCATCACCCTCCTCATTCCTTGTTCTATTCTGCCTCCTCCCTCCTCCACCCCTCCTTCCTCCCTCCCTCCTCCCTCTCTCCTTCCTCCCTCCCTCCCTCCCTCCCTCCCTCCCTCCCTCTGATGAGTACGGGTCACTCCCATACCAGCGTTGTGCGAGAGCGTCCTCCCTTCCCGCCCGAGGCCTCAGCACGGCTGGGACGAGGCCCGCCCAAGGGAGGGGTGGTGGGGTCGGCGGGCGGGATGCCAACCGCGCCCACCGCGCACCAGGGGAGGGAGGGAGGGAGGGAGAGGGGGAGGGAGGAGGAAGGGAAGAAGGGAGGAGGCAGGAGAGAACAAGGGAGCAGGAGGAGGAGGAGGAGGAGGAGGAGGAGGAGGAGGACGAGGAGGAGGATGAGGAGGGAGGAAGGGAGGGAGGGAGGAAGGGAAGGAGGAGGGCTGTGTGTGTGTGTGTGTGTCGGATGGCGCACGCTGCGGCCACCTCTGAGTTTCGCGCGAGCTGGGCCCCGGCCGCTGCACTTGGCTTTCCCCGCCTCGTCGCTGCGCGCAAGGCCGCGACCTGCCAAAAGTGTGTGTGTGTGTGCGTGTGTGTGTGTGTGTGTCTGTATGTATGCGTGTGCGTTTACCAGTGTCCTCGAGAGGGTGGGTCGTTTTCTCGCCTTGTACAATGCAGGCCGCCACTTCGTAGGACGTCTGTACGGAGCACTGTCTTCGTTTTTCAGATTGGACCGGTCTGCCCGCGATGGAAGGAGGTTATTCGTTGCTAATGCTGCCAGAACATGTGACAAGCAAGTTTTGGGGTTTGATCGATTATCACTGGACCACATCTTTGGCTTCGTAGGGGGTCACGGATCGTACAGCACATACGTGGCCCAAGGCCAATGGCAGGAGACTTCGTTCAGCGCCCGTCCGTGCATGCCAAAGCCCAGTCGACTTTGACATATCTGTGCAGGATGGTGTTTTTTCCGCACAGAAGGGAACCGCACAGCTGATGACCCAAATCACCTTCGTGGACCCTTGAGGGTGGGCGACCACTTGGTGCTTGAGACCCCTCGCCTTGGAGCCCTACTTCAAGCCGATGTAGTTTTGCTCCTCGTGTTGGCAATGTGGTGTGGGGCCCAGGCAGTGGAAGTTGCAGGACTCCTGCCGAGTTGTTGTCAACTCTCCAAAAGGAAGTCCCTGGCTGCCAGGAATCTTTCGCGCCGCTCTGAGCAGCCAGCTCACACAGAAGTTCGTCGCGGAGAAGGAGTTTCCCCGTCTGGTTCCATCCAGGCTACTCGAGTGGGAAATTTCGGCGGGCGTGGCAGAGGAAGGGCCCCCTGTTTTTTCCAAGCCTGATGTGTGTTGGGTCCTCGTTTTGAAATCGCAGCGCCGCGCGTCTCCCCCTCCTCCTCCCCCTTCTCTTCCTTCCTTCTCCTGCTCCTCTTCCTCCTCGTCCTTGTCGTCAGCACCATCCTTATCGTCATCGTCAGCATCACCATGGTCGGCATCGTCGTCGTCGTCGTCGTCGCCATCAGCAGCATCATCAACATCAACATCAACATCAACATCATCATCATCATCAGCATCAGCATCAGCATCAGCATCATCATCATCATCATCACCATCACATCATCATCATCATCATCATCATCATCATCATCATCATCATCATCATCATCATCATCATCATCATCATCATCATCATCATCATGGCCAACATCATCATCATTGACATCATCATCAGCAGCACCATCATCAGCATCGTCATCATCACCGACATCATCATCGTCATCAACATCATCATCATAATCATGAGCATCATCAACATCATCATCATCATCGCCACCACCTCCGCCATCATCATCATCATCATCATCACCATCATCATCATCATCATCATCATCATCAGCATCATCATCATCATCATCATCATCGTTCCCACCATTATCATCCTCATCACCTTTTTTGCCACACTCCTCACACGTCTCGTCCGCACGTCGCCTCGTGTTCATTTTGGCGCACCTCTCACACGTTTCGTGGCCTTCTGGGGAGCTCCACCGAAGGCCCCAGTTGCAGGGTTCGCATACTGTCGCCCTGATCATTTCGGCACACCCCTCACACGTTTTTCGTGACCCCCTGGGGAGCTCCACCGAAGGCCTCAGCGGCAGGGTTCACATGCCGCCGCCCCGACCATTTCGGCACACCCCTCACACGTTTTTCGTGACCCCCTACAGCCATCGGAGGCCCCAGAGGCAGGGTTCACATGCCGCTGCCCCGACAACGTCAGTACACCCCTCACACTTTTCGTGGCCCCCTGGGGAGCTCCACCGAAGGCCCCAGAGGCAGGGTTCACATGCCGCCGCCACGACCATTTCGTCACACCTCACGCTTTTCGTGGCCCCCTAGGGAGCTCCACCGAAGGCCTCAGCGGCAGGGTTCACATGCCGCCGTCCCGACCATGTCGGTACACCCCTCACACGTTTCGTGTCCCCCTAGGGAGCTCCACCGAAGGCCTCAGTGTCAGGGTTCACATGTCGCCGCCCCTTGCCATTTCGGTAACCTCTGGTCCCCTAGGGGGCTCCATGGGAGGCCCTAGTGGCAGGATTCACATACAGCCGCCCCGACCATTTCGGCGCACACCTCACGCGTTTCGTGCTCTCCTATGGAGTTCCACCTGCGGCCCCAATGGCAGGGGAACCCTCCCACTGGGGCCTCCTGTGGCGCTCCCTATGGGGCCACGAAAACCGTATGAATGGTGTGTCGAAGCGGGTTCGGTGGCGCTATGCGAATTCTCCCGCTGGGGCATTTGGTGGAGCTCCCTATGGTGCCACGAAGCGTGTGATGGGTGGATCGAAATTGGTGCGGTGGCGCCATGCGACCCCTCACACTGGGACCTTCGGTGGAGCTCCCATGTGGCCACGACCTGTGTGAGGCAAGTGCCGAAATGGGTGTGATGGCGCCATTCGACCCCTCACACTGGGGCCTTCGGTGGTGCTCCCTCTGTGGCCACGAATCGTGTGCGGGGTGTGCCGAATTTGGTGCGGTGGCTCCATGCGAACCCTCCCATTGGGGCTTGCCGTGAGGCTCCTTATGTGGTACGCGGGATGTGGCGAAACGGTTGCGGTGGCTCCATGCGAACCTTCCCATTGGGGCTTGTCGTGAGGCTCCTGTGGCTCCCTATGGGATGTGGCGAATCGGTTGTGGTGGCGCCATGCGAACCCTCCCATTGGGGCTTGCCCTGAGGCTCCCTATGTGGTGCGAGGGATGCGGCGAAACGTTTGCATTGGGGCCTTCGGTGGAGCTCCCCTTGGGACCATGAAAAACGTGTGTGTGGGGGGTGGGCAGATATGGTCAAGGGCTTGGGCCCCCCCCCCCAATGCTGATGCCATTGGGCCCCCCCCCCCCGCGCGATGGTCCCCCCCGCCCCCCCCTGTGGGCGTGGCGTGGTGCTGCGCTGCGGTGCCCCCCGCCCCCCCCCTGTGGATGTGGTGTGGTGCTGTGGTGGTTCAGAGGTGGGCGTGGCGTGGTGCTGCGCTGCGGTGCCCCCCTCCCCCCCCCTGTGGATGTGGTGTGGTGCTGTGGTGGTTCAGAGGTCGTCGTCGTCGTCGTCGTCGTCGTCCGCGTCCTCATCCTCGTCCTCGTTCTCGTCACCGTCCTCGTCGTCCTCGTCGTCCTCATCGTCGTCGTCGTCGTCGTCGTCGTCGTCGTCGTCATCGTCGTCGTCGTCGCCGTCGTCATCGTCGTCATCGTCGTCGTCGCCGCCGCCGCCGCCGGCGTCGTCGCCGCCGCAGCCGTCGTCGTCGTCGTCGTCGTGGTCGTCGTCGTCGTCGTCGTCGCCGTCAAAGTAGTCGTCGCCGTCGTCGTCGTCGTCGTCGTCGTCGTCTCTGGGACCATACCATCTTGGGGGGTGGGTGGGGGGGCCCGAGGAATCCTGGGACCATACCATCTGGGGGGGGGGGCCGTGGGCCGGGAGCCCGGGACCAGATATGTGACTGATGGTGGTGTTGGTGGTGATGCTGAAGCAGGGACGGGAACAGGGAAGGGCAGCGGGAGGGAGGTGATGTGAGGTGGCGCGGGGCGCTGCTGGTTCAAAACGAGGACCCAACACCACATTTTTGAGTTGTTTCGTTTGTGCTTGTGTAGTCTCGCAAGTTTATGCCAGTGTTTGTTTTAGTGCTTTTTACTTGTCTATTCGGTCGTGTAGAGTATAGCTGCTTGATGCAATGCGGTCTCACAGCTTGATGTATTTGGATTGCGGTTAAATCCTTGTCTGTTATTCCATGTTTTGATGATCGAGTTTCTGAATGATTCCTTTGGGCAGAGCGAGACACAGCGAGAGAGGGAGGGAGGGAGGGATAAAGAGAGAAAGAGGGGTCGAGGAGACGGACCTGCTCTTACGGTTATTGACGGTATCTTCGTGGGAAACAAATATACATGCATACGTACACACATATATAGATATATATATATATACACATACACAGAAGAAGGCTTACTATTGCGTCCTATTGCAGCGGTGGGGAAAACGGAGAGGGAAGGGCGAGCAAGGATGAGGATGACTCAGTTTGAGGTGGTGGACGAAGGAGGCGAAAAGCACACTCTCTCCCTTGTTTTTTCTCTCCCCCGCTCTCTCTCTCTCTCTCTCTCCCTCTGTCTCTCTCTTTTTCTCTCCCCCCGCCTCCCTTCTAAATCTCAATATTACTCCTTTCACAGGGCCCTACTTAGACCGTTCGCTAGCAGAATAAGTGTACGTAGTCGGAGTATATTTGTAATCGTAGTTGTAGTAACTCGCTGTAGTGGTATAGTAATAACGGTACCACTAGTGCTACTAGTTCAACTACGAATAACAGTACTACTACGATTACTGTCTTTGCTACTGCTACTTGTACTATTGCTACTTCTTTTCTAGTTCTACTCCTACGATTCGTCGTCGCGGCCAGTCGTCGTTGCCGCCGGTCGTCGTTGTCGTCGCTGCTGATCGTCGTCGTCGTCGTCTTCGCCACCGGTGGTCGTTGTCCTCGTCGCCGTCCTGGCCAGTCGTTGTCGTCGTCGTCGTCCTCTTCTTTGTCATTGCCGTCGTTAGTTTTGTTAGCGATTTTTCACTATTGAAGAATAATTACTGTTGATCCCCCCTCCGGTGACCATTGCGTTTCTTAAATTGAAGTACTTCCCCCAGGGTTCGCACCCTGTTTTATCAGGCAAAGTCACTCGGCTCAAACTGTG